TTTGTTTTGCTTCACTAAAGAATCTAGACTAAGCACCACTTAAGATGGATGAATATTCAAAGGACATTTTGCATCATCTTTACAAAGTTTTTGACTCTATAATAACTTCAAAATAAAAAAGCCTATGAAAAATAAGCTCCAAAAGGTAAAAACAAGGTAATATCCAGTACTGGATAAATGAACAAACAAAATGTAATGCATACATATCAATAGCCCCATTGTTGTTGTATACCACTGAGTCGGAACCAAACCATAGCTGACCTCCAGTGGGTTTTCAGAGGCAATTAATCTCACAGGAGGTGATTGTTCATCCTTTTCCTGAAGAGCAGCTGGTGGGTTATAACCACCTGTCTTTGGGATTGCAGCACAATATTTTTATCACTAGGCTACCACAGCTCTACTCAGCTATAAAGAAAAAGTCCCAATCCATGCTACAGCATGTGTAAAACTCAAAACCTTGATACTCAGTGAAAGAAATAAATCACCAATGCTTATTTGAAGTGATTACAAGATATTAACTTGAAAGATAAGGAGAAACCATTGTGTATGATACTGTTGTTGTTAGGTGCTGTTGAGTTGAATACTTATAGCGACTCGATGAACAAAATAACTGAACTCTGTTCTATTCTGTGCCGTTCTTACACTTCCCAACATACAAGAGCCCATTGCAGCAGTCATGGCGCCAAGACATCTTTCTCTTCTTCGCTGATCCCCCAACCTTTCTAGGCAATCATCATGTCCTTCTTGAAGGAATATCTTCTCCTACCAATATGCCCCAAGTATGTGAGGCAAAGTCTCATCATCCTTGCCCTCAAAGAGCACTCTAGTTGCATAATCTCCAAGACATATTTGTTTATTCTCTTGGCTGTCCATTGGAGGCTCAGTGCTCTTCACCAACACCACAACTCAAGGCATCAATTCTGCCATCCTTATTCATTGTCCAGCTCTTAGATGCACAGCAAGTAATTGGAAAAACTGGCCAGAATCAGACACACATTAGTCCTCAAACTGGCATCATTACTCCCCAATAATTTGGAGAGGACCTTAACTTCAGATTTTCCCAGTGCAATATGTCTCCTTATTTCCTGATACCAAGGGTGTTAATTGTGAATCCAAGCAAGATGAAACTGCGGAGAGTTTCAGTCTTCTTTCAAATCTATCATGATGTTGCCTATGAGATGCAATCCATACTGAAGGACGCATTCCTTGATCTTCTGCAACAAGTACTTCTAGTCCTACTTACTTTAAGCAAGCACAGTTGTATCATCTGCGTAATGCAGGTTATTGATGAGTCCTCTTACAATCCTGATGTCACATTCCTCCTCATAGAGCCCAGATTCTTGCATAATTTACTCAGCATACAAATTAAATAGGTATGAAGAGAGAATACAACCCTGGCACAGTCCCTTCAAAATTCCAAACAATGCAGTGCTTTGTTAGCAGAGCAAAAATCGGATATTTTTCTTTTACATTTTTAATTTTAATCAGTGAAGATCAAAGATTCATTAAGTTAGAAGACCTCAAATAGTTAAAATATTTTAAGATAAAGGATCATCAGTAAATAACTTCTTTAAAAAGTCACTAACATAAGAGAGTTTGGTTTGTTAAAGAAGGGTGTGTGTGTATAAAGGAATTAGGAGACACCCAATAATAAACTGAAAGGATGAGTAAGAATAGGCATAGTTTAATGGTGACTGTTTTTATAAAACACATTGTATATGAATGACAATATGAAACACTTTGTGAATGAAGAAATGTGTAAAACACAATGTACATGAATGAAGTATAGTGTATATGAATTTTGTATGCAAACAATACAAAATTTTAAAAATCTTTGTAATAAAAAGTATTCTTTTGCTTTGTATTTCTAAAATTACATATGTAAATACTGACTACTTAAAGGGTTTTAAAGTATCAAAAATTGAACATAATCAAAATGATATTTTAGAATATTATGTAGTATACTTTACTGAAATAAGTACCATTCATTTATAAAATTACTTATGCTACCTACATGAAATTTTACTAGTATTATTTATATTTTCATTCTGATCTGGGACAATAGAAACTTTATCACCTTATGCCTTCAGGAATAGATAATCCCTTGTGGGAAGTTAATATTTACTATCATAATTATGGTACAAATGAAAACACCATAATTTCTTCCCTTCAGAGTTTATCACTGGGTGGATGGGGATAGTCCTAAGGGAGATATTTGTCTAGTTGGAAATCAGGAAAAATTAAATACAGCGTAAGTCAATGCCATGTTGCTTCCTTTAACATATTCTCTTGTCAAATTTGTAACTTTGATTTCTATCTCAGAATGACAGCTAAAACTCTTAGGTTATAAGATGTACTCTTTAATTCTCTTATTAGTAAAGGGAAGAGATGATTCTGAGACTAATCTGGCCAGCTTTCCAGTTTTTCCTCTGACACAGTGGAGGTGAAACCTGCAAAAAGTGTCAGCACTACAGTATTTAATTGGAGAAAGGGTGAGTAAATAAATTTTTATTTTCTCACTAAATTTCTACGCTGCTGAAACAGGAGAAAATATATTGCATAGCAAGGCATCACAGGCACACAAGTTTGACTGCTGCCTCTCTGTTATTAATTACTGTTTTTGTTAGCTTCATCTTCACTCTGGTAATAAGACAACAGTTGTCTTCAAGTTGCCATCAAGTTGAAACTGACCCGTGATTGACCCTCCAGCAGGTTTTCAAAGGCAGTTAATCACATGGGAGGAAACAGGAAGAGATTGTCCATCCTTCTGCCACAGGGCATCCAGTGTATTAGAATCCATGCCTTCAGGATTGCAGTGCAGCTTCTTACAACTAGACCACCAATACTCCTAAGACAAGAGTAGCAATTCCAAATACAAAGTATTATCAGAAAAAGAAGAATTTTATTTCTTTTCCAAGTTTATTTATTAAAGTACAATATATTAATGGACAATTTATATATCCAAAGTACGTAGTTTGATTAATTTTAACAAACTTGGTCACTTAACTTGAACCCATATTAACTTTATTTCTATTTCATGTTCTCATATAGAAGCCTGGGAAAGCTCATGCACTTTCTTTCTTCATTGCCCAGTTGTTTTGGAAAAATGAGGAGAATGCATTAAAAAAAAGATATGTATGGTTTATTATAAATATTAGGCTATTACAGTTTATATTAACCGCCTACATTCATTATTCACTTCGTGGATTTTGGTAGAAAGACATCTGAATGTACCATATACAATGAGAAACTCCACACTAAGCAAGAAAACATCAATATAAACTGCTCTCACCAGTGGAAACCTTGAAGTTATCACCTATAGTCCTTCTTCCACCCTGCAACTCAACTCATCACATTCAGTTAAATAATAAACAAGTATATAAAGTGAACAGTAGCACCAGAAAGGTAAACATTCCTTAGAAAAATCAACTGTATGATATAAAAAGGGCAGCTTTTGCACTGGAAAAAGATTAGGAAATAGGCATGAATGGGAAAGAGGAAATAATGTAAACAGGAGACACAGAGAAGTGGGGAAAATGCTGTTCACAACACAATGTATATAAATTGTTGAATGGAAAATAAATTTCTTTGATAGCCTTACACTGAAATTACAATAAAAAGTTTAAAGCAATAAAAAGACAATAATTTGCCTTCAAATTATTGTTATGAACTATCAAGATGTACTCAACTCATACCTGATGCTTCAGTGGATTTTCAGAGACAATATATTCTATGAGAGATTGCCAATCTTTCTCAGGGTAAGCAGCAATATGTAAATTCTGATGATGTAACCTTTCTGTGGAGGTTCAAATTCACCAGTAGCTCCATGGGATAAAGATGGTCAAACCATTTTAGATGTACAGCCTTGAAAACCCAATAGGTCAGCCGGGAGTCAAAACTGGATGCCAGACAAAACTAGTTGTGTGTATGTGTGTGTGAGTAATCTTTACCTCTAAATGGAGAAATATCTCTGCCTTGATTTATTTTTCTACTCACCACTTGTGAGTCAGTTTGCCATGCTATGGTGGCTTGTGTGTTGCTGTGATGCTGGAAGCGATGCCACCTGTATTTAAATTATTAGCAAGCTCACCCATGATGGACAGGTTTCAGTGCAGCTTCCAGAGGGAGGCAGGGCTGATCGTCTACTTCTGAAATAATAAGCCTTAGAAAGCCCTGTGAATAATTGAGGAAAATTGTTGGACTTATACCAGAAGATGAGCCCATCAGATTGGAAGGCATTTAAAAGCAGAGGAGAAACAGCTGCAGACATCCATTAATAATAATTGGAACACAGAATGTATTAAATTATGAATCTAGGAAAATTGGAAACTTTGAACAATGAAATGAAGCAATAAAGATTGACATCCTAGGCATTAGTGAATTAAGATGGATTGGTGTTGGTATGTATGTTATGAATTTAATCTCCTCTGGTTAACTCCTCTCTTTATTGATGACCATCACAGGGGAAGTGAGATACTGAGACATTTATTGTAATAATGGTAACATGAGTAGAATGAGGAAGCAAAGGGCCATAAAGTGACAGGGGCAGATGCAAAAGAATTTCCTATCGTTTATGTCATAAGCAAGTAGACCTCAATTACTTCATTATCCTATCTTCTAGTAAACAAACTCACTGCCATTGAATTGATTCCAACCTAAAGGAACCCTATAGTAGCACTTCCATATAGGGCTTCCAAGGCTGTAAATGTTTATGGAAACAGAGCGTGATATCTTTATCCATCAAAGTAAATGGTAGATATGACATATACCTTTTTGTTAACTTTCTTATATTTAAACTGTGGCACCACCATAAACTCTATTTTTTATAAAACCAGGAGAAATTATTCATCATAATTTAGCTCATACAGACAACAGATAGAGTATTTGAAATGTTGAAGGATGTGTATGGCAGTACATTCAGATTCCACTAAATTTTAAAAGTCTTATTTGAATTCTGCCTATCAGAGTACATGGTAATGAATGAACTTTTGTGAGGATAAATGGAATTCTTTACTAATGGAATTTTCTTAAACATTTACAGGTTTTCAGAAATGAGAGTGCTGACTATAAATGACTCTTTAGTGACTGATTTTATTCTTGCTGGATTAACTGATAGTCCAGAGCTACAACAACCTCTCTTTTACTTGTTTTTAATAATCTACTTTATGACTGTGGTGGGAAATCTTGGTTTGATCATTCTTATTAGGTTAAATTCTCACCTTCACACTCCCATGTACTATTTCCTCTTCAATCTGTCCTTTATTGATTTCTGTTACTCGTCAGTTTTCACTCCAAAAATGCTGATGAACTTTGTATCAAAGAAGAATATAATTTCTTATGTTGGGTGCATGACTCAACTCTTTTTTTTCCTCTTTTTTGTTATCTCTGAGTGCTATATGTTGACTTCAATGGCTTATGATCGTTATGTGGCTATTTGCAATCCATTGCTGTATAAAGTCACCATGTCCCATCAGGTCTGTTGTTCACTGACACTTGCTGCATATGGGATGGGATTTGCTGGAGCTACTGCCCACACAGGCTGCATGCTTAGATTAACCTTCTGCGATGCTAATGTCATCAACCATTACTTTTGTGACATCCTCCCTCTCCTCCAGTTGTCTTGTACCAGCACCTATGTCAATGAGGTAGTAGTTCTTATTGTGGTGGGTATCAATATCACAGTACCTAGTTTTACCATCCTAATTTCTTACATCTTCATCCTCATTAATATTTTTAATATCAAGTCTACTCAAGGAAGATCAAAGGCCTTCAGTACCTGCAGTTCTCATATTATTGCCATTTCTCTTTTTTTTGGGTCAGCAGCATTTATGTACCTCACATATTCTTCTCCAGAATCTATGAACCAGGGCAAAGTTTCATCCATTTTCTATACTAATGTTGGGCCTATGCTTAACCCTCTGATCTATAGCTTAAGAAATAAAGATGTCAAGGTAGCCCTGAAAAAAGCTTTGTTTAAAATTCAAAGAAAAGTTATATTCTAATTAGAAGCACTGGAAATGTAAAGAAATGAAAGCATCTCAAATTTTGGTTGTACTGGGTATGCTCTTTGATTACATAGGATTGTTTATATCACGTAACAGCTGCCCTTGTCTCATTCTTTACTTCTTTATCATTTTCATCACTGAAAGATTTAACAACAGTGTGTTAATAAAAGGAATAAATACATTGTTTTATTGTTTTATTTATTTCCCCCTTCTGCTTCTGATCTATTACTTATTGAAAAAATATGATAACTTCTAGAAACCACTCTTGTGGTTTTGTACTGTTGCCTTGGGACTGACTCATAGCTGACCCATCAGGGGGTTTTCAGAGACGGTAATTCACACAGGAGGAGATTGCCCGTGTTTCTCCTGTAGAGTAGTAGGTATATTTGAACTTCTTGACTTTAGATTGATAGCTAAATTGTTTACCATTAAGCCTCCAGAACTCCCTATAAATCACTTGGGTAAATTTACCAGTGAAACTTATTAACCTAAAGATATATGTGCTATACATAAAGTATTTATTTTCTTAATATTTTGACTGTTGCAGGCAGTTGGATTTAATTAAATGACTTCATTAAAAATTGTGCATAAAGTCAAATCCTCACACTTTCTGGCATGCTCAAGCCTACTGTGGCAGTCAATGAGTTGCAGTTACTTGACATCATCTAACATCAACAGCAACATGCAGGTTAAGATAGAACCTAATCGTCTTTTATTTTTATCTATTTTTCTATTCTTTTTTAAATTATTTTTCTTATTTATCTTATCATTTGAATGTGGGGCGATCTACATCACATATTTGCTTTTGATAGTCTCTATCAGTGCAGTGCAATTACTATTGAGGGGAATATTTACAATACCATCTTTTATTGTCAAAGAGAGTTTTAGCAAAGGGTGAATAGATAGAGCATGTACAGATATTTTTCTGTGAGAAAATGATATTTATTACTGTTTAAGATGGCAGCAAATATTCTCTGGAAAGCCTAAATTTGTTATCATGAATCACAGGAAAACCTTGAACCTTAGGCTAGATGTAATATTTTAATAATTGTTTTACCTATACAATTAGATTTGCAATGAATAAAATATTGTTGTTGTTTGTTGTTAAGTGCCATTGACTCACATGCGACTCATAGCGACCCTATGTAGGAGAGTCCTTGACGCAAATAAAATACAGTGTATTTTAATATGAATAACCTATATTCCTAGAAACATTTTGTGAGATTCCTTTAATATTACAACCAGTAAGGCAATAAATTTATCTAGTTTAGACCCTCTATTCTGTAATTCCTTTATTTTTTGACATATTTAGAATATTCGGAGTAATGAAAAGTCAAGAAACACTGTTGAGTAAAAGTTCTTTTCCATACAGTAACAATAAATATATTAATATTGATAATGATTGTTGTTGTTGTTGTTGTTGTTATGTGCCATTAAATTGCTTGCGACTCATAGTGACCCTATGTACAAGAGCTCTAAATGCCCTTCTATCCTGTGCCAATCTCGCGGTCCCAAACACACTCATTCCCACCACTCCACTCACAGAATCGATCCATCTCATCGAGGGTCTTCCTCTCCTTCGCCGCCCCTCCACTCTCCCAAGCATGATGTCCCTCTCTAAGGACCAGTCCCTCCTTGCAACATGCCCAAAGTATGTCAGAAGAAGCTTCAGAATCCTTGACTCCAAGGAGCATTCTGACTTCACCCTTTCCAGAACAAACCTGTTTGTTCTCCTGGCAGTCCATGGTATATTCAACACTCTTCTCCAGCACCACAGCTCAAAGGTATCGATTCTCTACCATCCCTATTCACTGTTCAACTCTGTGATGCATAGCATGTAATTGCGAAGACTATAGCCTGTATCAGGCTCACCTTAGTCTCCAGCCTGATGTTGTTGCTCTTCAGTACTCTTGGGAGGTCCTTGACAGCTGACATTCCCAATGCAATTCATCTCCTGATTTCCTGGCTGCTGTTACCAAGAGTATTGACTGTGGAACCAAGTAAACTAAAACTGTTAACTATCTCAATCTCTTCACCATCCATACTGATGCTGCCAATTGGCCCAGAGGTGAGAATCTTTGTTTTCTTGATGTTGAGCTTCAATCCATATAGGAGGTTGCAGTCCTTGACCTTCTGCAGCAAGTGCTTCAGGTCCTCCTCAGTTTCAGCAACCAAGGTTGTGTCATCTGCATAACACAGGTTGTTGACGATTCTTCCACCAATCCTGATGCCACATTCCTCCTCGTACAGCCCAGCGTCTTGGATGATCTGTTCTGCATACAGATTGAAAAGGTATGGGGACAGAATACATCCCCTTCTTGATTTTGAGCCATATAGTGTCTCCTTGCTCTGTTCTGATGACTGCCTCTTGATCCAAGTATAGGTTTCGCATTAGCACAATCAAATGTTCTGTGATTCTCATTCTTCTCAGAGTCAGCCATAGCTTGTTGTGATCCACACAGTCAAAAACCTTTGCATAGTCAATGAAGCACAGATAGACATTCTTCCCGTATTCTTTGCTTTCTGCCAAGATCCATCTAACATTAGCTATAATATCCCTAGTACCATGACCTCGTCTAAATCCAGCCTGCACATCTGGCAGTTCTCTGTTGATATATTGTTCCAAACGTTTTTGGATAATTTTCAGCAGAATCTTACTTGCATATGATATTAATGATATTGTTTGATAATTTCCGTACTCTGTTGGGTCACCATTCTTTGTAATGGGAGCAAATATAGATCTTTTCCAGTCAGTATATTAATTTTCCAGTCAATATATTAATATTGATAATGATTAATAAACTAATTAACAATAATAAATAAAATATAAATTTGAGGTTTATTTCTTCTTTTATATTCTCTGATTTCAATATAATTAGTTTTACATTCTATTTTTAATTTATGTAGATTGAAGATTTTTCATTTTGTAAAAAGCTTGAATATTCTTTACAGATTATTTTAACACTGTTTAACTTAGCTTCTTACAAAACCAAAGTACCTTTATATAAATTAGAATATTAATGCTGATATAATGGTTGTTTTTTTCCCAGTTGACACTAACTCATAATAATCCAATGAGCAACAGATCTTGCACCATCATTTACTATCCTCCCATTCTTTACCCTGTCCAAGTCTATTGTTGAAGTCACTGTATCAATTCATCTCACTGAGAATCTTCCTCTCTTTTACTGACTCTGATTTTTTCATATGATGTCTTTTCCTAAAGACAACATACCCAAAGGGTATGAGACAATCTTAACTATTTTTATTTCTAAGGGGCACCCTGGTTGCACTTATCTGTTTGTTCTTTTGTTTGTTTGTTTGTTCTTTTGACAGTCAATGATACATATTTAATACTTTTTATTGATATCACAATTCCAAATAAACTAACATTTATTAATGAAAACTGGATAAAGTATTGATATAATAGAAGTAGTTATTAAAAACTTAAGAAACAGCATTAATTGTCTCAAATTTGTAAAAAAAAAAGTTTTGTCTCAAAGTATATAAAAAACAAAATTTAAGTAGAAATAAAGCTTGTATGTCGCTTGTTTGTCTTATTTTATATCTTCTGTCTATGTAGGAGAAAATGATATGTAGAGGCACAGAACTACAAGCATCTCTCTGAAAGGGGGAGTGGGAGTAAGAATTGCACAGTCCCTTGCTGTTCCGGAGTGGAAAACAGAAAAAAAAAGCATTTAATCCAGCCTATGATGTCTCTAGAGCCACACCAACAGCAAGAGGTTCGTTTATTCACTTCTAACTCACAGTTTTACAGTTATGGTACCAATAATGGGGTTTATTAGGGTGGGAAGTTGGAGAGTAGAGGAGGCAAAGAATATCTCATAATACAAGCCCAGGCTTTAGCCCAACAGTTAGAAGGCATGATTCCTCAATAAGTTCAGGCTCTGATTTTGGTTCAGCTGTCAAATCCAAATCATCAACCTGCTTTTTAATTATAAAAAACTATCTACATGATTAGATAGCTTATGCTTGAAGGGTCTTGAGATAGAGCATTACTGAGAAATCATTACAATGGACTTTCAAAGACATATAATACAGTCAATAATCTTACTAATGTTTATTATTGTTAGGTGACTGCAACTCCATTCACAGGACCCAATAAACAACAGATCTGAACCCTGCCGTATCCTGTGCCATTTTCATGATCTCTGTCATACCTGAGCACATTGATATGCCCATTATGTCAGTTCATCTTGATGAGGGTAATCCTCTCTTTCTATGACTTTCCACCACAATGTCCTATTCCAGCAACTGGACATAACATACCCATTATATCTGAGACTTTGGTTTTAAGTTTTGTATGAGTACAATTATATATTCTGGAATTCCCATTCTCTTCAATGTGAGCCACAGTTTGTTATGATCCACAGTTAAATGCTTTTGCATAGTCAATAAAACACAAAGATATATTATTCTGAAATTATCTGCTTTTAACTAAAATCCATCTGACATCAGCAATTATATTCTGTTGCCACAGCCTCTTCTAAACCCAGCTTAAACTTCTATTAGTTCTTTATACTTATCTTGCCATTTTTGGATTATCTTCAGCAATATTTTCCTTGCATGTGATATTAATGATATTATTTTATAATTTCTGTATTCTGTTGAATCACCTTTCTTGAGAATGGGGACAAACACAGATTTTTTTCTAGTCAATTGTCATGTAACATTCTTCCAAATTTAATGTCCAGGGATGCTTCTGTTAGTTGAAACCTATCAGTTGGTATCCCATCAAATCAAGTCTTCAATGCAGCTTGAACTTCTTTTCTCATCACCACTGGTTCTTGATAATATACTACTTTTTGACATATTTTAGTGTGGACTAATTTTTTTTGTACAATAATTCTGTGTATTCCCACCATCTTTTTTCCCCCTGCCTCTTGTATCATTCAAGATTTTGCCCATAGTATCTGAAGGAACTGGCAAAAAACGAGGTCCCATGAATGGATGGCATACCAATTGACATATTTCAA